GTTGCTTTAGTGAGCTGTGCTCTGCCAGCTGTGGTCCGAAAGGAAGCTGGAGGAGAACTGCATCATCAGGATGGGCCAGTTGGGTTGTCCTGGGTCTTTGTCACCCATCCCCTCTCTTCTGGCAGAGGAGATCCCTGATCCTATAGCTAGAGAAGTCAAATCCAGACTTCTGTACGGCCTGTGGGCCCTGCCATCTGGCCGTCTCTGACCTTTTCAGCATCACCTGGCCCATTTTTAGTCCTTCAGCTGTTCCCAGCTCTTTCCAACCTTATGACCTTTGTCCCCCTTCTTACAATACACTTCCCTTTCTCTTTTATGTGGCTGAAATGTTGATTTCTCAGCAAGGCCCTTCCTGACTCCTCTATAGCTATTAACAAAAGAGGTACCTGCCTCTTAGCCTCTGTGAATGTCTTATTTGTTTCCTTACTGGTGCTTGTGACAGTCTGCATTTTTGTGTGTATTGGGGAGCTTGTCATCATGAGACTCCTACAGTAGGTTGTGAACTCTCTAAGGGCAGGGGCCCTGTGTTCCCTGTTCCCTGTTGGTTTCTGGCCCAGCCGTGGCCAGCATTCTGTACTTTATTGACATGACAAATGGCTTCTGTCTTCTAGGCGGCTGTGCATCCTAAAGGGCATTTATCCCCATGAGCCCAAACACAAGAAGAAGGTTAACAAGGGCTCCACAGCGGCCCGAACTTTTTACCTCATCAAAGACATCAAGTTTCTCCTCCACGAACCCATTGTCAACAAGTTCCGGGAATACAAGGTGAGGCCTGGTCTCTAGGGTCTGGTGGGTACCCGTCACAGCTCTGTGATCCACTAGCTATGACCCTGGGCAGCTTGCTAACCCTCTCTGAGGAAACCTATACAGGGAGGGAGGTGATCCTACCTTAAAGGGATGTTTTGAGGATTCTCCGAGATTACATACAGTAGGCATACCTCGCGTTATTGTGCCTTGTTCTGTTGTGCTTTGCAGACTTTGTGCTTTTTACAGATTGAAGGTTTGTGGCAACCCTGTGTTGAGTAGGTCTTTCAACGCCATTTTTCCAACAGCATGTGCTCACTTCATGTTTCTGTGTCACGTTTTGGTAATTCTCCCAACGTATCAAAATTTTTCATTATTATTTTATATGTTATGGTGATCTGTGGTCAGGGATCTTTGATGTTGCTATTGTAATTGTTTTGGAGCACCACACCATGCCCATATAAGATGGTGAACTTAAGCCATAAATGTGTGTATTCTGACTGCTCCACTGACTGGCTGTTGTCCTGTCTCTCTCCCTCACCTTGGGCCTCCCTATTCCCTGAGACACAATAATATTTAAATTAGGTCAATTAATAACCCTACAGTGGCCTCTAAGTGTTCATGTGAAAGACAGAGTTGTACATCTCTCACTTTATTAATAAATCAGAAGCTACACAAGATTAAACTTAGAGAGGAAGGCATGCTGAAAGCCAAGATAGGCTGAAAGCTAGGCGTCTTGGGCCAAAAAGTTAGTCAACTTGTGAATGCGAAGGAAAAGTTCTTGAATGAAATTAACAATGCTACTCCAGTGAACACGAATGATAAGAAAGTAAAACAGCCAGAGTTAACCAGATCTAGCTTAAGATAATTGATGAAAGTAGCTACACTAAACAACAGATTTTCAGTGTAGATGAGACAGCCTTCTATGGGAAGAAAATGCCATCTGTGACTTTCATAGCCAGAGAGAAGTCAATGCCTGGCTTCAAAACTTCGAAGGATAGGCTAGATTCTTCTCTTAGGGGCTAATGCAGCTGGTGACTTTAAGTTGAAGCCAGTGCCCATTTACCATTCTGAAAATCCCAGGGCCCTTAAGGATTATGCTAAATCTACTCTGCCTGTGTTTTAGAAATGGAACGACAAAGCCTGAATGACAGCACATCTGTTTACAGCATGGTTTGCTGAATATTTTAAGCCCACTTTTGAGACCTGCTGCTCAGAAAAAAGGATTCCTTTTAAAATATTACTGCTCAGTGACAATGCACCTGGACAACCAAAAGCTCTGATGGAGATGTACAAGATGATTAATGCTGTTTTCCTGCCTGCTAACGTAGTATCTATTATATTCTGCAGCCCATAGATCAAGGAGTCATTTTGACTTTCAAGTCATCTTATTTAAGAAATATATTTTGTAAGGCTATAGCTGCCATAGATAGTGATTCCTGTCATACAGATCTAGGCAAAGTAAATTGAAAACCTTCTGGAAAGGATTCATTATTATAGATTTCATAAAGAACATTCATGGGCCGGGCGCAGTGACTCATGCCTGTAATCCTAGCACTCTGGGAGGCCGAGGTGGGAGGATCGCTTGAGCTCAGGAGTTCGAGACCTGCCTGAGCAAGAGTGAGACCCTGTCTCTGTTAAATATAGAAAAATTAGCTGGGTGTGGTGGTGCGTGCCTGTAGTCCCAGCTACTCGGGAGGCTGCGGCAGGAAGATTGCTTGAGGCCAGGAGTTTGAGGTTGCTGTGAGCTAGGCTGACACCATGGCACTTGCTCGGGCAACACAGTGAGACTCAATCTCAAAAAAAAAAAAAAAACATTCATGATTCATGAGAGGAGGTCAAATGTCAACATTAACAAAGTTTTGAAGAAGTTGATTACAGCCGTCACAGATTACTTTAAGGGGTTCAAGACCTCAGTGGAGGAAATAACTGCAGATATGGTGGAAGCAGCAAGAGAACTAGAATTACAACAGAATTAGAAGCAGAGTCTGGAGATGTAACTGAATTGCAGCAATCTCACGATAAAACTTGAACAGATTAGGAGCTGCTTCTTGTGGGTGAGAAGGGAGTTTCTTGAGATGGAATCTCCTCCTGGTGAAGATGCCATGAACATTGTTGAAATGACAAGAGATTTAGAGTACTACATAATCTTAGTTGATGAAGCAATGGCAGGGTTTGAGAGGATTGACTCCAGCTTTGAAGGAAGTTGTACAGTGGGTAAAATGCTATCAAACAACATTGCATGATACAGTGCAATCTTTGCTTTTTTTTTTTTTTTTTTGGAGACAGAGTCTCGCTCTGTTGCCCAGGCTAGGGTACCGTGGCATCAGCCTAGTTCACAGGAACCTCCAACTGCTGGGCTCAAGCAATCCTTCTGCCTCGGCCTCCCAAGTAGCTGGGACTACAGGCATGCGACACCACACCTGGCTAATTTTTTTTTTTTCTGTTTTTAGTACCTGGCTAATTTTTTCTGCTTTTAATAGAGATGGGGTCTTTCTCCTGCTCAGGCTGGTCTCAAACTCCTGAGCTCAAGCAGTCCTCCTGCCTTGGCCTCCCAGAGTGCTAGGATTACAGGCATGAGCCACCATGCCTGGCCCCAGAGAAATCTTTCATGAAAGGAAAAGTCAATACATGTGGCACACTTCATTTTTGTCTTGTTTTCAGAAATTGCCACAGCCTCCCCAACCTTTAGCAACCACCGCCCTGATCAGTTAGCAGCCATCAACATCAAGGCAAGACCCCCACCATCAAAAAGATTACAACTCACTGAAGGTTCAGATGATCATTAGCATTTTAGCAGTAAAAAAATTTTTACAAAATTTTATTTTTAATTTTCCATGCACAGCATTAATATCTTTTTTTTTTAATAAGAGACAGGGTCTCACACTGTCATCCAGGCTGGGGCACAATGGTATCATCATAGCTCACTGCAGCCTCAAACACCTAGACTCAAGTGATCCTCCTGCCTCAGCCTCCTGAGTAGCTGAGACTGTAGGCATGTGCCACCATACCTGGCTAATTTTTCTTATATTTTGTGGAGATGTGGTCTCACTATGTTGCCCAGGCTGTCTGGAACTCTTGGCCTCAAGCGATCCTCCCACTTTGGCCCTCCAAAGTGCTGGGATTACAGGTGTGAGCCACTGTGCCAGGCGTGATATAAAATGTTTCAAAATTAAGGTATGTACATTGTTTTTTTAGGCACAATGCTCACTTAATAGACTCCAGTATAGTGTAAACATAACTTTTATGTGCGCTAGGAAACTAAAAAAATCATAACTCACTCTTTTGTGATACCCATTTTATTGCAACGGTCTAAAACCAAACCCACAATATCTCTCGGGTGTGCCTGTATATGGAAATCATTTATACAGAATCTGGTAAATGATTAGTGCTTTATCTGGTAAAGTTTTCCCTGCTTCTTCCTGAAAGATTAAATTTTTTTGCTCTTGAGGCAAAGATGGTGCTTTTGGGGGCTTTCCTGTGTGTTCTCTGCCCAGAGAAATAGTTCCTGTTCTGATTCTTGCTGAGATTGCTCCCAAGAGACCAACCCTTTTATTCCTCAAATAGAAATCATTAAATGCTCACATACCACAGAGAAAGCAGAAACCTATTTGTACCAAATGCAAGTAATAGAAAGTAGACAGTTGCTACTGAAACCTTTGACTGGGAGCAGGGCCGGACTGTGGCCCCTGGCCTGGAGGCATTGGGTGCCACCTGGTGACCTATAGGGGACTGGGCAGCAGCTGCCTGCCAGCCCTGTTGCCCAAGCCCATTGAGGTGTATAGCCGGACCTTTTATGCTGCTGGGCTTTGCAGCTACATCAGCTCACTGTGTTGGAAGCAGACCCATAATAGGAGATGGCTGTCCCAGAGCTGCTGTCCATAATCCCAGAAGAGGTAGCCTTTGAGCTTCTGAGGAGTACAGGGGCTAGGCCTGAACAGACGTGCTCGGAGGGAAGAAGTCAGTTGGCTTGGAGGACCTGACCCCACGACCCCATACATTTTCTGGATGCCTCAGTGCCCCACATGGACCCACAGCTTGTTTCATGCTGACACAGTCTGGCGTTGGGAATGCAAGTCAGTCCTTCCCACCCTAATCTGCCTCAGTGGCAGGTCACTTGGCCTCTCTTCTTGGCTGGAAATGGGGCTGCAGTGCCTTGCCTTCCTTCCACATAAACGTGTGGAGTCAGCACATCTGTGCATTGTCAGAAGGGGTGCCTGGTCTAGCTGTGCAGGTTAACATAGGTCAGTCTTCGTGCTCTTTGGATTTGGCTGTTTTGCAAATCCTGGGCCAAGAGGGCTGGTCACACAGGCAGACAGCCGTGTCCAGCTTTCAGGACTCGTTGAGAGTCCTCCCACCCCACAAATCCAGCTCCATGGGAGAGGGGTGTCCAGGAGCACTTGGCCCCAGCATCAGTGGTCTCTTCCAGGTGTTTGTCCGGAAGCTCCGGAAGGCCTACGGGAAGAGTGAGTGGAACACTGTCGAGCGCCTGAAGGATAATAAGCCCAACTACAAACTTGACCACATCATCAAGGAACGGTGAGTGCTGAGCCCCTTAGAACCCTGCTCTCTCAGCCTGGGCAACATAGCAAGACTCCATCTCTACAAAAAGTTTTTTAAAAATTAGCCAGGTAGGCCGGGCATGGTGGCTCATGCCTGTAATCCTAGCACTCTGGGAGGCTGAGGTGGGCGGATTGCTCAAGGTCAGGAGTTCAAGACCAGCCTGAGCAAGAGTGAGACCCCGTCTCTATTAAAAATTAATAAATAAATAAATAAAAGTTAAAAAAAAAAAATTAGCCAGGTATGGTGGTGCACACCTGTAGTCCCAGCTACTTGGGAGGCCGAAGCAGGAGGATCACTTGAGTCTAGGAGTTCGAGGCTGCAGTGAGCTATGATCATGCCACTGCACTTGAACATAGGCAATAGAGCAAGACCCCGGCTCTTAAACAGAACACTGCTTTCTGTTCATTCTCTGCCAGGCCCTGTCCTAGCACTGGGGATGCAGTAGGGGACAAGACCAAGACCCTGCTCAAAGAGGTTGCATCCTTTTGGAGGAGGCAGACCAGAAACCAAACTGGCAAATCACTGTAGTGATTGCAAGTTGCAGAGAGTGCCATGAGGGATGTGAACAGCGTGAAGGGGACTGGGGGAGGTATGTTAGTTAAAAGCTTATCATAGGAGACATGTGAGGGGAGACATTTGAGCCAGTCAAGGGAAGCACGTTCCTAGCAGAAGCAGTAGGAAGTGCAAAGGCCCTGTGGTGGGAAAGAGCCAGAGCTCTAGGGCTGCACATAGGGTACATGGTGAGACCTGGGAGACATGGCTGGACACTTCTGGTCTAAACCGTTCCAGCCTTCTCAGAAGTCCCCTCATTCATCAGCTAAATCAGTGTCTCCTAACCAGCGGTGATTTTGCCCCCTGGGGGACATTTGGCAATGTCTAGAGACACTTGTTTCTCACCACTTGGATGGGTGTGCTATTGGTATGTGGTGGATAGAGGCCAGGGATGCTGCCAAATGCCCCACAATGCACAGAATAGCCCCCCACAACACAGAACAGTCTGGCCCAAAATGTCAGTAGTGGTAAAGTTTACAAACCCTGGGCTAGTGAGTATATATCTTCTCTTGGGGCTGATGACCCAGGAACACTTAGCTCCAGGATGGATGGGCTTGGCTGCATTCAGCCCACTGTGGGCTGTCACAGGGAGAGCCCTGGCCTAGGAGCTAGACAGCTCTCACACCAGCCCAGAGCTGGGCGGCCAGAGCACAGTTCCTGCTCTGAGCGAGTCCTCATCGCTAACAGAGAGGAGGTGATGGTAGTTCCTGTCCTGACTATGACACATAGCTGTTATGTGAAACAAATGAAAAAAATGCACAAGAAAAAAGTAAGAGCCTGGACTCATACACCAGGTGGTGGTTTGGTTGTGGTGTTCCCATTCCATATCATTCCCCCTTCCCCTTAGCCAGAGCCAGAGCTTCAGGAAAAAAAACAGGTGGCTCAGAAATGGCCAATGTCGTTTCTGCAAAAGGCCTGGGTACTCGGTTTCATGTGCAAGGTGGTGAGTTAGGAAACCACGAGCCACCAGAGGGAGCCAATTGAGGTTCTTGCTGATGTACTACAAAACCAGACACCTCCCCTGCGGCTGCCTCATGAGGTCCCTGCAGGCCTTTCTTCCATCTTGGCCTGAGTTCAAAGACCTGGAAGTCCTCTCCTGGCTCATTACAGTGAGTAATGCCATCTGAGGCTGGAAGGACCTTGGGGCGATGTCTCATCCCATGGCTTTCAGAGTCTTTCATTTTGTTTTGTTTTTGAGACAGGATCTCGCTCTGTCACCCAGGCTGGAGTACAGTGGCAAAATCACAGCTCACTGCAACCTGGGATTCCTGGGCTCAAGCAATCCTTCTGCCTCAGCCTCCTGAGTAGGTAGGACTACAGGTGTGCACCACCGTGCCTGGCTAATTTTTTTTCGTTTTGTTTTTTTTGGGCAGAGACAGAGAGACAGGGTCTCGCTATGTTGCCCAGGCTGGTCTCAAACTCCTGGGCTCAAATGATCATCCTGCCTCAGCCTCCCAAAGTGCTAGGATTATAGGCATGAGCCACTGTGCCCAGCCCAGAGTCCTTTCAGAAATAGCAGAACCCTTTCTTCAAAAGGAAGCTTCCTGGAAGGCAGTTTGGATGCCAGAGGTTCTGGCAGCAGATCTGGCTGTGGGAGGGAGGCTTGAAGCCCTGTCTGTCTGTCCACTTGGTCCTAAGGCATTTAGTTCTAGGAAGCTACAAGAGCCCAGTTTTAAACCAACCAGTCTGGTCTAACGATGTCATTTTCTAGATGAAACTGGGGCTGGGTGAGGCCAAGTGAACCACCCTGGATCACAGTTCAGAATGGGACTGGAATCCAGGGATTATCACTCATGGTGCAGTGTCTTCTCCATGCCCCACACCTCTGTCCCTCAGCAGGGCAGCCACACAGTAGTGGATCCTGCCTAGGGAGGCTCATTCTCATCGGCTTCCTCGTTTACCACTGGATTCCTGGAAGCACGTTCTTGACTCTGGCTCTTCCTGACCCAGGACCCAATTCTCTAGGTCTCATTGGTTCTGCCAACTAGACAGGGGTTTGGGTGATAGGAGACAAGGAAGACATAATGCCTTCTGGTGCCCTATGCCTGCCCTATCAGGCAGCCCCTTCACAGCCCCAGCCTGCTAGGGCAACTTCATGTTTTTCTTTTTTTGAGACAGAGTCTCACTCTGTTGCCCGGGCTAGAGTGCCATGGCATCAGCCTAGCTCACAGCAACCTCAAACTCCTAGGCTTAAGGGATCCCCCTGCCTCAGCCTCCCGTGTAGCTGAGACTACAGGTGCGAGCCACCATGTCTGGCTAATTTTTTCTATTTTTAGTAGAGATAGGGTCTCCCTCTTGCTCAGGCTGGTCTCGAACTGGTGACCTCAAGTGATCCTCCCGTCTTGGCCTCCCAGAGTGCTAGGATTACAGGCGTGAGCCACCGCGCCCGGTCAGCTTTGTGTTTTTCTGTTTTCCATCTTGGACCTCCTGATAGATTTTCTTTTAACTAAAGTTTCTGCCTCAAAAAGAGTCAGAGAAAAAAAAAAAAGAGAGAGCCACTGACTTCATCTACCCTCATTCACCACGAAATACGGAAGTGGGTCAAGGCTGGGTGAGCAGTGGTTGTCTCGAGGATTCCTGTCAGGATCACCCTGGTTAAGGGGTTCCTCCCAGGGCTATTCCCAGGCCTGTGGCCAGCTGTGGGGAAGCTGCTACTGCCAGGTCAGGAGGCAGTGTCAAGGCCTGGCTTGGGGAATAGGCCTCTGGGGTGGGGCCAGGTCAGGACCCCCCTGGGAGCCCAGGCTAAACTAGCCTTAAGCGCTGCCCTCCTGGCCGTGCAGGTACCCCACGTTCATCGACGCTCTGCGGGACCTGGATGATGCCCTCTCCATGTGCTTCCTCTTTTCCACCTTCCCACGGACTGGCAAGTGCCACGTGAACACCATTCAGCTCTGCCGCCGGCTCACTGTGGAGTTCATGCACTACGTCATTGCCGCCCGTGCCCTGCGCAAGGTGAGCCTGGGACACCTGGCGGGCACCCTCCCCCTGCCCCCCCACCCCATGGTCTTCACCGTGCTGTTTGTCCCCGCCCAGGTCTTCCTGTCCATCAAAGGCATCTACTACCAGGCCGAGGTGCTGGGACAGCCCATCGTGTGGATCACACCCTACGCCTTCTCCCATGATGTGAGTGTGCCCGTGGGGAGGGGCTCGAGCTGGCTGCTAGACAGACATGGGGGCGTGGAGAAAGGAGGGTTTTGCTGTCCTGTGGAGTCCAGCTGGGGTCCTGATTGTTGGCAGGAGGTGGCCTGGGATGGGGGGAATGTGCTACATACAGAGCTTGAAAGTTAAGAGCAGGAGCCCTGAGCCAGCCCAGCTACAGCACCTGTCAGCTGCCTGACCTTGGACGTGTTCCTTCTTCACTCTGCACCTCACTCACTGGTGTCTGAGCCTTGTCGTCAGGATATAAGGACAAAACATTAACAGTGCCCAGGGCTTGGCCCTTTAGAGTGCTCAGTGAACAGCGAGGGCAGCTACCCTGGGCCGGGCCCTGCCTGCTCACCCAGCACCATGTAGTGCCACTGCAGGGACAGTGGCAGAGCCCTGCCCTGCCTGCAGACCCACTGGGGTCCTCATCCCCACTCTGCTGCTGACAGCTGCCTAACCTTAGCCCAACTGCTTTGTCTCCCGCCTCTGCATCCTCCTCCCTGCCACGTCTGCCCCACGGGGCTAGAGGATTGGGCGGGCTGGGGAGGAAGAGCCCTGCTTCTTACTGATCTTCTAATCCTGGGAGTTGCTGGTGGGGATCCACTGAGAGGAATCCTCGTTTTGTCTCTGTGTGAAGATACCATTAGCTTCTGGTCCCCCAGAGGGTCTGGGCCAGGCTCCTCGCTCTGTGGGCCTGCATTTGGCCCAACTTCCTGCTTATTCCTTGAGTGGGAACTGATGCCTTCAGCAGAGTGCAGATGCTACCAGCCTGGCCGAACAGGCCGACCCAGGCTCTCCCAAGGCCCTGGGCTGGTGGGGCTGCAAGGGCCGGAACCTGTCCTGACTGCGTGGCTGCCTGGTGGTGAGGCTGCAGCCTGTTTGTGGGCAAGAGGCGGGCTTGGCCCTCAGCAGTCCCTGCACCCACTCCCTGAGGTGGGCGTGGGTGGTCAGAGCCTGTGGCTCTTCCTCCCTCTTTCCCTCTCCATTCCTCCTCTCCTCCTCCTTCCTTCCTGCCTTCCTCTCTGGCCCTCTCTGTCCTTCCTTTTCTCTGATGTCCCACCCCCATGCTGCTCAGACTGGTCTTTGTATGTCCTTCTGGGTGGTGAATAGGGCCCTGTGGAGGGCTGGCCTCCACGCAGCTGGCCCTGGGGGGAGGGAAGGGTCCACCCATTCTTCCTTCCTCCCTGGCCAGTTTGCTGCCACTGCTTCCTCTCAGTAGAGGATAGGGGACTGGTACTAGGTCATAGCAGGGGCCCTGGTGTGCCCCTCCCCTGAACAGCCAGTGTTGGGCCCACAGCAGTGGGACCCAGGCTGGTAGTGGGGGCAGGGGCACTCTGCTCAGTGCCGTGCTATGGGAAGTGGGGTTGGTGCCCCCTAGGCCCATGGGGGACTCTGGCAGATTCTCACGAAAGGATGGAGGTGTGTGTGCGGGGACAGGCAGGGTACCTCTTGGCCCCTGACCTCCAACAGCACAGGTCACTGCCTGGCAGGAGAATAGGGAAACAGCCCAGAGTCACCCCTGATGATGGTTATCCATATTGACATTGCTCAGAACAGCCTGCCGTTCCCAGGGGTCAGCAGGCCTCCCTGATTTTAGGGGGCAGTGTCATTCAGGAGTCTAGGTACTTCTGTCTAGGTCTCAGATCATTGCCCCATTTTGCTTTTTTAACTCCTTAAGGGCAAAAATGAGCCCTCTTGCTTGCTGGGTTGGCAGCTTGTGAGGGTGGCTCTGTGCCTTTCTTTGCCCCAAGGAAGTAGTTTCTCTGCCCACCATTTCCCAAGACCTCCCTGGGGTTGAGCCAGGCCAGCTGCCTGTACCTATCCTGGGCCCTCGGCTTGGGCCTGAGGAGGGGCTACTGACTTCTGAATGTCCACCCCAAGGCTCTTGCTAGGACGTGGATGGGCTGAGTCCTGTGCCCCCACTGCCCCCAGTTGGGCCTGACCTTCCCTAGTCACCTTAGTCGCCCAAGGTTTTATCAGCCTTTCCTCTGGGCCAGGGATGGTGCTAGGCTCTGGGAGGGCTGTGCTGCTGATACTTAACAAGCTAGCCCTAGAGCAGGCATCAAACAAAGCTTGTGGGATGGGTGATGGAGAAGGCACGCCCTCCGACTAGGTCGGGGAAAGCAGTCTCTCCAAGGACAAAAGTCTGAGCTAGACTTGAAGGATGATGGCGCAGGAGAGGGGAGGGCCAGTGAGACCTCCTCTGAATCCCCCCTCTTTATGGTATGGGGGTCTGACAAACCCTCGGGACCCCTATCTAGAGCCCTACTTGCTCAGAGTGCCCTTGGGTGGGGACATGCCATGCCACCCTTTGCCTAGGGCAGCATTCCCAAGGCAGGGCTGTTCTCAAGTTGCATGGGGTCCTCGGGTAGGTCAGACATGCCCCCCATGTGGGTTCTCTGTTCCTCCTGTGCTCCCCAGCACCCGACAGACGTGGACTACAGGGTCATGGCCACCTTCACCGAGTTCTACACCACCTTGCTGGGCTTTGTCAACTTCCGCCTCTACCAGTCGCTCAACCTCCACTACCCTCCCAAGGTAGGCCTACCCCAGCGCCTCTGCCCACGGTGCAAGGGCCACAGCCTTCTCCACATGAAGGTGAGGGACTGTGGTGTCTTCATATCTCTGCCCTTCCACTTGCCTCCCAGCTTGAGAGTCAGGCCCACGCAGAGGCACAGACTGGTGAGGGCACCTACGCACTGGATTCCGAGAGCTCTATGGAGGTGAGAGAGGCTTCTCCCCTGGGGGGTGGTCCCTGTTCCTAGCACCTCTGGGGATCTGGCCCTGGGTGAGTGGTCTCAGGGCCTAACCCTTGGAACCCAAACCCACTGATGGCCCAAAATCGTCACTGCTGCCCCTCCCCACCCTGGCCACACACCAGGCAAGGTCCCCCACCTGTAAGTAGCCGCCCTGCTTCTGTCCTATAGAAACTGGCAGCCCTTAGTGCCAGCCTGGCCCGGGTGGTGGTGCCTGCTGTGGAGGAGGAGGCCGAAGTAGATGAGTTTCCTGCCGATGGGGTAAGCGCTGCACTCCCTTCCAGAAGGGAGTTGGAAGGGGAATGGGAGCTGGCATCCAGAAGATCTAGGATCTAGAAGATGCTGGGGAGGGTGTCACCTCCAATCCTGGCCCTGCAGCGGTGGTGCGAGGCCTGGCCCTTCTTTCCGCAGGAGGTGGCGGTGCAGGAGGAGGAACACAGGAAGGAGCTGGAAGCACAGGAAAAGCACAAGAAGCTTTTTGAGGGCCTGAAGTTCTTCCTGAATCGCGAGGTACCCCGAGAAGCCCTGGCCTTCATCATCAGGTAAGGGGGCTCGAGGGCTGGCTGACAGCTCTGCCACACTCTGGTTTGGGTCCTGCCCTGCAAGTCCTTTGGTAACATCGAGACGGCACCATTTTCCACCTTTTACAGGGAAAGCGCTGAGCACGTAGGAGGCACTCGACAAAGGGTGGAGCTGCCATCACTTTATTACCAGCTTGGGCACAAGGATGGGCAGTGGGTGAAAGGTCTCCACTAGGCCAGGACTAGAGGTGTGGGCACAGACGGAAGGATCCTGGGGTGGGGAGGGGACAGCTGCATCCTAAGAGGGTGAGTTTGTGGGCCGGGATGCCAGCGAGTCCAAGCGTAGGCAGCTCATACCTGGGCACTGTGTGTGCTCTCTGTGCCTGTAGGAGTTTTGGGGGGGAAGTGTCCTGGGACAAGTCTGTCTGCATTGGGGCCACCTATGACGTCACGGACTCCTGCATCACCCACCAGATTATTGACCGGCCTGGGCAACAGACCTCCGTCATTGGCAGGTAGGCCCCTAAGGCCCTCATTGGGATTTCTGGGGGTAGAGGTCTGTCTCAGAGGGATACCATGGGACCTTGGATTGCTCTCTGTGACCTGTATTCGCCCACCACTCTGAACCAGGTACTACGTGCAGCCCCAGTGGGTGTTTGACTCTGTGAACGCCCGGCTCCTCCTCCCTGTGGCAGAGTACTTCCCTGGCGTGCAGCTGCCCCCGCACCTCTCGCCCTTCGTGTCCGAGAAGGAAGGAGATTACATCCCCCCTGAGAAGCTGAAGCTGCTGGCTCTGCAGCGGGGAGAGGACCCAGGTGAGCGGGAAGGGGCTGGGCAGCGAGGTGGACAGGCCCCTCTGTGCTGGCCCTGGCTGCAAAGGTGGCAGGCTCCAGGGAACAGAGCCACAGGAGCAATCAGCCCTTTGGAGGAAAGCTTAGGAAAAGCCTGTACATCCTACACTCAGGTGTTATTTGACATTCAGGGTAACTGAGCAGAGGAATGGGCTAAGTTGTCATCAGTATTTACACAGGAGATATCAGAGCTCAGGAGTGGGGTCTTGCAGTTTCTTTGGAAGGCAGCTGGGGCTGCGGGGAGGTGCCAGAAGGGGCCACAGTTGGAACAGTCCTGAACTGCCTTTGGAATGTCCCCGTGGGTGAAGACAGCAGGGTCAGAGAGGATGGTGCCTGGGCCTGTTCTCACCCTTCCAGGAAAAAGCAGGCATTCAGAAGTTGTTCAGTCTGGTCAACATAGTAAGACCCCAACTCTACAAAAAACAAATTAGCCAGGCGTGGTGGCGCACACCTGTAGTCCCAGCCACTGAGACTGAGGCTGGGAGGCTGAGGCAGGGGTATCGCTTGACCCCACGAGTTCGAGGTTATAGTAAGCTGTGACGATGTCACTATACTCCAGCCTGGGCGACAGAACGAGACCCTGTCTCAAAAAAAAAAAAAAAGAAGTTATTGAGTTATTGGCTGTCTATAGGAAACTTGAATGAGTCAGAAGAGGAGGAGGAAGAGGAGGAAGACAACGAAGACGATGGTGATGAAGCGGGAGAAAATGAAGAAGAGGAGAAAGATGTGGAGACTGGTTCAGAAAAGGAGGAAGAAGCCCGACTGACAGCCCTGGAGGAGCAGAGGATGGAGGGGAAGGTATGGGGGTGCTGGGTTGGGGTGCAGCCTGGGAAGTGTCCCCACTGGCCACTTGGTGTCCACCCTGGCCCAGAAAAGCAGGAGCCAGGGGACCGGCGGGGGAGGGTGAACTGCCCCCACAAACATCCTGCCTGTGTCCCCAGAAGCCCCGGGTGATGGAAGGCACCGTGAAGCTGGAGGACAAGCAGCGGCTGGCCCACGAGGAGGAGAGCGAGGCCAAGCGCCTGGCCATCATGATGATGAGGAAGCGGGAGAAGTACCTGTACAACAAGATCATGTTTGGCAAGAGGCGCAAAATCCGCGAGGTAAGTCCTGGCCGCCTACCTGAGACCTTGGTTATGGCCACCTATGTGAACTTAGGTGAATTTAGGCCTCTGGTTCTCCTCTGGGCAGACGCTGTGCCTCTCCCGTGTTTTCCTGAGGTCACCTGCCTGGCCCAGCCCAGCCTCTGGGGCCCCACCCAGGCCTGTGTAGGCATCTTGGTACCACGAGTTCTGGCCCTAGCTTTCCTTGGGGCTTCATTCCCTTCCTGCACCTGGCTGTTCCTGAGTCTGCTGGGATCTGGGAACTGGGAATGGATCAATCCTAGCAGATCCAGGGACTGTGGGAGGCTTGCGTTAAGCTTCTCTCTTTTTTTTTTTTTCTTGTTCACAAAGCCACATATGCTTGTTTTAAAAAAATTGCCATATGTGGTGGCTCCTGACTGCAGTCCCAGCTACTGAGGAGGCTGAGGCAGGAGGATCACGTGAGCCCAGGAATTTGAGGCTGCAGTGAGCTATGATCATGCCACTGCGCTCCAGCTCAGGCAACAGAGCAAGACCCTATCTAAAATACATACATACATTCATACATAAACTAACAGACAAACTCATGCACCCAGAACTCTGTAATGGGTGGTGCAGAAGTGGCTCATAGTCCTCTCAGAGTAGAGTGATCTATAGTACCAGCCCCCCGGCTTCTCTTTTCCATGTAATAACACATTGTTTTGAAGTGTGATTTTTTGTTGTTGTTGTTCAACTGTAATATGAACTTCTTTTTATGATGAAATACAATGTGTGGTCTGTCCCCTACCAATAAAGTGTCGTAAAGGGAAGGGTGGGGCATATTTTTTCCCCATGAAAAAGTGGATCAGGTGGATTTTTTTCCAGGGGGAGTTTGCCTGTGAGCTTTTTTGGAAGCTCTGTTTTTAAGGGACAGTGTTGAGAAGAAGGAAGGAGATTCTCCTCCTCTTGCCCATCCTCACACACATCCCAGCCTGATTTCCCCCTTCCTCCCCACAGGCCAATAAGCTGGCAGAGAAGCGGAAAGCCCATGATGAGGCCGTGAGGTCTGAGAAGAAGGCCAAGAAGGCAAGGCCGGTGTGAGCGCCGGCGGCCCCTCCCTAGGCTGAGACCAGTTCCTGGCAGCTGGGCGTGGAAAAGGCAGGCCAAAGGACCTAAGCTTGGTGACAGACCAGAGTCACCTCTGTTCTCATTCCCCCTTTTCCCCTGGCCAGCCCTGGCCCCTTCATGCTCTCTGGCTGGAGCCATGGGCAGCTCTGGCCTCCCTTGGTGGCTTCCAGCTGGTAGCTGAACAGAGAAGCGGCCTCTGTGCCCAACCTGATTCTGTGCTCCCAGAAGACAGTGCAGGAGCCTAACCAGCCCCTCACCTGCTGCCCCCATTCACCCTGGCTTTGCACAGCTCTCCACCCCCATGGTTGGACCCATGATTCTTGGGGTGTTGTGATGAGGTGACGGTCGGGGGTTTGGTATTTGTTATTAAACAGCTAGACTTTTGCAGTCAGTTGGATTCTGTGTTCATGAGCCTTCCTGAGGTTGGAGAAGGGCCACCTAACACTCTGCCGGTATTTACCGAGGTGGACCTGGGCGCTGCTCAGAGCTTGCAGTGTCCAAGGACCCCTCCAGGTCCAGGAATTCCAGAAGGGAGGTACAGAGGTTGTGGGCTTGAGCTCTACATCGGCCAGACCTTGGCTCACATCCTAGCCCAGGCATTTTCCCTCTGTGAACTTGCTTCCTCCTGTGTAAATTATTGGTAGAAATTCTGGAGTCTTTTCAAAGGGATGTGTTGAGGGTTTAGTGATAACCTTATCTGTGGACTCAGTAGTGTTAGGTGTGTAGTAAGGACTTAGTAAACACCAACTGATTTTCATCACTTCCTGCTGGAGTTGGCCAAGTAGGGAAAAGCCAGAGCCTGATTTGTGGGGGCCTGAGGTGAGGGGCCTCCCCTGCTTGCTCTTGTGGGCTCGTGGGCAGAATAACGCCCAGTTGTGGGCATTGCCAGCAGCCCGACCTGTGACCCTGCAGACGCCAGCAGTGCCCCTGCTGAGGCCAAGGAGATACGCCCTTGCCTGGGACCGTGCATCACAGCAGAGGCAGGCTGGAACCCAAGGCCCTGGGTGCTCACTCTGAGCCCCTCCCAGGACAGACTCCTCAGGGTACCCTTGTCCAGAGCTGGGCCTGGCTGAGGAAGTGTGGATTTGGAACTGGGCTCCTCCTCCGAATGTAGGCACCTGGGCCTAGCCGCCAGCCTGTCACCGTTTGCTGGCTATGTGGGCAGAGGATATTTTGGGGGGCAGTGGCTGTAGGCCCATCCTGTGCAGGGGAGAAGGCAAGAGCTTGTGCAGGCTTTGCCTTGGGGAGCAAAGAAGTCTTGGGCCCCAGTCTCAGCTAGGTATCGCAGCGTGGGGGAGGAGAGGGCTATGTGCCATGCCCATGGCCGTGGGGTGCAGGTTACCTCCAGAGCAGAGACAGAGGGTCCGGACCTCTGGAGCCAGAGCCTGTAACCCCAGGGGACAACTCAGGCCTGCCTGGGTGCATGTGCATTCTGGGGCCACACGGTTGGGGAGCAGGCCCATCAGATATGGAAAATCCCTGGCAGCCATGCTGATGTGGAATTTTCCCCATTCCACAGTCGCCCAGTACTGGCGGGGGCAGTGGGGTTCTGACGTGGCCCATGCCCCACTGGCTGGCCAGCTGGTCCTGTGCTGCCCACAGCTGGAGCTGAGAATTCCTGGCTCTGGGCGTGCATTGTCCCCCATCCTTGGTCCTGCTCCTCTGGGATGAAGGAGGAAAACCTGGGCCTGGATGGGACACCTGATCTCTGACAGCCCAGCTCAGCTCTGATGGGCGTCCTAGAGAGGAGGGGTCAGCTGAGACCTCCAGTGGCAAAACCAGGTGGAGCTAAGTCTCTTGCCTGAGCTCCCTTCAGGGATCCTGGCGCCTTCCCTCCCTCCCGTGGGTGCCCAAAATGTACTGTCCCGGGTCTGCACCGACTGGAGCAGGAGGCCATACCTTCCATCGGATCCTCAGGGATCCTGAGGGCCCCAGAGCCGTGGCTGCACTCCCCCACCTCCCACCCCCCACCAAGCCCCAGGCATCCTCGAGTCCTCTCCGGGGCTGGAGCTCGACTGAGCCAAAGGGCCGGCGGCGGGACAATGGCCCCGTTGGCGCCCCGGAGACAAATGGGCCTTGTTGGGCCGGCAGCGGGGGCAGCAGCATTGCGCTCCAGGCCTCTGAATGCGGCTTCTGTGCGTCTCTAGCGGGCGCGGAGGGGCCAGGCCGGGGCGGGGAGGGGGCCAGGGCCGGGGACGCCCATTGGCCGCGGTGCCGGGGGCCGGGCCAGGCTGGCGGCCGCACCTGGCCGGAGCGGGCGCGTAGCGTCGGTGGGGGCGGGTGCATGGACCAGGCCTGGCGGAGCTGGGGGCCCGGGCGGGTGCGCCCCGCCGCCCAGTGAGCGCCCGGGCGGCGCGGCCCGGGCCGAGCCAGCCACGCTGAACCCAAGGAGGACAGGGACAAGGTATGACCCGGGATCCAGCACCCACTGCCAGCTTGCGCCCTGCCTCAGTCTACACCCCTGGGGACCCACTCATATTACCCCAACCCCCAGACTGCTCCAGGGTCTGGGTGCTCCTATTCACTGCCAGAGGGTGGCCCGGCTGGGACCAGGGAGGGCACAGGCTAGTGCTCACGCTGCCCTTGATTTCTTCCCCTGGCCCCCCCTTTCCAGAGCTTACCCAGTCCCCGAAGGTGGGGTGGGTGGGGCAGGAGAAGGCAGGCTGCTGGGGCTGGGCTGGGTCTGGGAGTGTGTTAATGATTAATCTTGGATGCAGTGGCCTGAGCCCTAGGGGAGGAGGTGCAAGGATCTCCCCTCTCCCCATTAGCCCTCCCCAGAAGGGGGCATTAGAGCAGGGGCTGGGGACTATGGGAAGGGATGGATCCCCCTTGCTGGGGAAAGGCCCTGACCTGTTCCCCAGTGGAAGCAAGGCCACCAAGGAGATGCTTGAGGGTGTGTGGGGGACAAACACTTGTATTCGAGAACGGTCCCATAGGAAATCCTGCAGTTCCCCGGTTTCCTGCGCCAATGCCCAGGAGGAGGGTCCAGCTTGGTCTGCCCCTGTGGTGCCACACCAACACTTTGTAACAGCACAGAGTACAGTTCAGACTGTGGTCCCTTCCCAATGGGGAGGGCCCTCCCCAGCTGCCCAGAGCAGGAGAGGTGACGGGTACACATCTGGCTGCTGTAACTCACACCAGGAGAAGGGGAGGGAGAGATGGCAGCAGGTCTGACACCTGATCCCCCAAGTGGCCCTGGTGACAGGTGCCATGGAAATCCTCCAGAGGCGGGAGAGGTGTGGAGAACTGCCTGGTCCAGTTGGGAGTATCCAACCTCTTCCTTTACTGAGGGGGTGACCTGAGGCCCAGAGAGACTGAGGCTTGGCCAGGGCCACACAGCGGGGCAGGCCTGGGCTGGAGCAGCTCCTAAGCTGCACTGTCCCTTGCCCTGTGAACGAAGCATTGCTACTTATCCCCGTCATCCAGAGGGGGAAACTGAGGCTCAGGGAGATTCAGTGACTTGTCCAAGGTCACACAGTTCAGAGATGGTGGAGTTGACTCCAAGTCATAGGAGTCTTGCCCCGGTCCCCCTCTCAGGACCCCAGTCCTACCCAGAACCTCTCTGCCCCTCTGGGGTCCTAGCCTCTTGGATCTGCCTAGGCTGCCCCAAACCCTCAGCTCAGGACCCCTCCCCCCATGCCTCCCTGGCTCCCAGCTCTGCCTGACACTCGGGGGCTGGGCAGGCTGCTACCCTGGGAGCAGAGACAACGAAGCCCTGTTCCCAGCTGCCACCTTGGCCTGTTTCATTCCCTGCTTCTTGCACAGACAGATCCCTTCCTGGAGGAAGCTCCCTGTGGACAAAGAATGCCTGCTTCCTGTGCATCCCCTTCCCTTACCGGCCCGATGCCCTCTTGTCACCCACTGGAGGGAGGAGTATGTCCCTTATAGCCCCTCCCGCCAAGTTCTGAGGGACTGGGTGTGCCACCCACTGAGAGGCAATGATTAACCTGGGGGAATGATGCACAATGGTGGAATTATTGTCATAGCGGCAGGCTTGTGAAGGGCTCCTGGCTTTGCTTTGACGGGGTAAGGAATATGGACAACCCCTTTTAGGAGCCCCACACCACTCCAGACAAGGCAGGTTGGAGCAGAGGTGCCCCGGGGGAATTGCAGGTGAGCAGTGATGGTGGGAGGAAGTGGGGCCCAGAGAATACCTGCTTTCCTGCCTGCCAGTTCCCCAGCAGAGACCAGGTATGGCTTGAGCACCCCTGGACCTGATCCTGGCAGTACACTGACTTGCTGTGGCACCCCAGGCAGGTCCTTGGATGGGGAGGGTGGCCTTCCAAAAGTCTGCACGGACAGATCCTGCCTCCCCTACCAGGTGGGATTATTAGGATAATGTAACAATCAGGGGTGCTAACAATGAGTGCATGCCAGGCGCTGCGAAGGCTCTGCATGCCTCACAGCAAGCGAGAACATCGTAGCACCTCCAGTTTTTAGGAAACAGAGGCTCAGAGAGGGAAAGTCACTTGCCCAAGGCCACCTAGCTGGGGCGTGGTGGAGCCGGGATTAGTAACCAGGGCATCTAGGAGTCTCCAGGAGTGGAGAGGTGTGTGGGTGTATCCAGGTCATTGTGTTCAGTACCTTTTAAAAACATTGACATTGTTACATGTTTGTGCAAACAAGTGTATATTTTTTAAAAATATTGCAGGCAGGTTATAAAGTACAGAGAATGATATGACCAACTCCAACATATGCACCCCTGGGGGCTCTCAGTATTTTTGGAGCTTGGTGAACCTGTGATTCGCCACTCCCCAGTTAGAGCTACTTTGGGGTCACTCAGATCTGCGCTCCAGAAGGGTAATGATTTACCCAGACAAGGCAGTGTAGCAGGAAGAGCTATGGGCTTGCTCCTAGTTATGGCTTTGCCTTTAAGGCCTTCCACAAGTTACTGAGCCTCAGTTTCCCCCTGTCACATGGGGCTAGCAGACGACATGGGGAGGGTCTATCAAGGGCACAGGTGTGGCTGCCCTTTAAAACAACAGAGACAAATGGTCCTGAGAGACAAAAAAGTGCTTTCTGAATCATCAAAAACGTCCTCGGCCAGGCGCAGTGGCTCATGCCTGTAATCCTAGCTCTCTGGGAGGCCCAGGTGGGCGGATTGTTTGAGCTCAGGAGTTCGAGACCAGCCTGAGCAAGAGCGAGACCCCGTCTCTACTAAAAAAATAGAAAGAAATTATCTGGACCACTAAAAAACATATAGAAAAAAAAAATTAGCCGGGCATGGTGGCGCATGCCTGTAGTCCCAGCTACTCGGGAGGCTGAGGCAGGAGGATCGCTTGAGCCCAGGAGTTTGAGGTTGCTGTGAGCTAGGATGATGCCATGGCACTCTAGCCTGGGCAACACAGTGAGACTCTGTCTCAAAAAAACAAACAAACAAAAACG